TGATGATTTGGAACCTCTCTTCATGTGTGTTGGCCATGACGGGGCATGTTGACAGCAGAGGCTAGTGGAGGGGTTGGGGGACTGCCCTGGCCTGTGTTTGCCAATGGCAGGGGCAGCCCCATCTGATCCACCATGTTGCTGTGGACCGACCAGCTTCTCTCCCGGTCTCATGAGGGGCCCCAAGACCCCCCTTGACGTCTGCAGAGCAGGGCAGCAACCTATGACCCTGGCTTTTCCCAGAGCCCCTCTGGTGACCCTGTGAAGGTTGGTGGCCCTGCAGGCTCAGAGGCCAACGCCCACACAGTGAGTGCAGCGAGAAGGCACTCAGGGCCCTTTGTCCCCAGCCTCACCCTGGCACCTGGTCCTGTCGCCCCAGAGACCATGGGAGACTCAGCGGGGAGCTCAGCGTACCCCACCCCTTTCCATGGCTCCCCAGCTCCAGTCCAGGCCAGCTCCACGGATGCAGCCACAAACCGTCCTGCCCGTCACAGCCACACCCTGGCTGAGGGGGCTCTCTGGGCTGGCTGTGGGTGAAACGTGTGGAACTGGGGATGGGGGGCCTGAGGCTGGCCCCAAGGTGACCTCCCGGTCCTCTCATGCTCACAGCAGTGTCAGCAGCCTGGGTCTGCAGAATCCGGAGTGTTCCCTGGATTTGGCCTTGGGTTCCTACAGGCCAGTGTCCCTTGGCCCAAACATGACAGCTGTGTCTTCCTCTCATTACGCCTTTGGAATGCCAGGAGGAATATTTTTATGGTAAAAAATGACCCGATGTCTCAGCCGCGGGAGGGTGGGTGTGTCACCTGCAGGTCGCCCCCAGACAGATGAGCATCCTGCTTTGGGAGTCGCTGCACCCCCATTAATTAGGGGGGAGGGGCGCCCAGGCCTTGCCAAGGCCTCGCCCACGGCCAAAAGCTTGTCAACATTTTTCCACGAAGGATGAAAATGTAAATAAGTTTAAGATTATTCAATGTCACCAAGGTGCGGAAAGGGTCGCAATGCTGCCTGTCATTTATCTCGTTGTAGATTTAAAGAGCTTTTTTCTATTAAATTTCTTAAAATTAATGTTTTATGTTGCTCAGAGTAATTTGAACAATTATGGGCTTAAGGAATTGATCATTACGGCTCCTGGGACTGAGGCCCCGCACCGGTCCCCGGGAAACCCGCTGATTTATGGTGTCCCTGCTTAACTCAGCCAGACGCCCGGGGACCAGGACCCTCGGGCAGCGTCCCCTCCCCCATCCCCTCTAAGCCTCGCCTTGGGGTGGGGGGGCTAGATAAACCTGGGACCTGGGAGCAGACCACCTCGAGGGAGGCGGGAAAGGGAGGGAGGGGATGTGTCCCCTGGTCTGGAGGGAGGGGACCGATGTCCAAAGTCCCCAGGCTTCCCCTGATGAGGGGGGGGGGTCCTTCCAGCTAAAAGAAACCCCTTGAGTGGCTTTTACATTAAAGGGAAAGAGTCCCTCTGACGTATCTGTGGGAACGGTTTTTGATCCGTGTTTACCGCGGGGGAGGCACCAGCAGCGCGCCATCCAAGGTCAACGAGCGCCAGTGGGTGAGCGGGTGCCCCACTAGGCCGCGGCGGCTCTGCTGCACGCACTGGGGCCCGGGGCCCCCGTCACTCCCGAGGCCCCCCCGAATTGAAGCCGGAAGGAGAAGGCCAAAGCTCCCCCAGACCGGGGGCTGCGCGCCCCGCTCCAGCCTCAGCGCCCACTGGCTTCCAGCTCGGCGGCTCGCTTCCAGCCGGGCGCCCCACTCCCCTCTCGGGTGGCCCCTCTGCGGGCAGGGCCGGCGGTGGTGGAGTCGGGGGTCCCTCCCGCTGCGCCCCGGCCCAGCCCCGCGCCACTCCAGTGCTCCACCCGGGTTCGAGGCCCGGAGACCCCAGGCCTGCTGTGGGCAGGGTGTGAGGCTTGGAGCGGGGGGACAGGGCGCCTGGAACCCCGCCTTGAGGGTTCCTCCTTGAGCACTGACCTCCCCACGCTGACACACACGCGCACACGCGCACAGACACACAGACACACGCACGCACACGCGCGCGCGCACACGCAGGACGCCCCGCCCACTGTCTTCGTGAGACCCCCGCGAGACAGGGCGTCCTGCGACTCTGGCAGCGGCTTCTCCTCCCCGCTCCCCAGCCCGGGCCTGCAGAGGCTCCGAGGCCCGCAGACCAAGTTCTCTCTCCGCCGGAGGTCGCCCCGCCCCACCGGCTGGGGCTACAGGCGCGCCCTGGGTTCGAACCTGCGGGGCTGAACCTAGGCCCCACGCTGCCTGGGCGCCCTGAGTCCGGGGCGGCCACAGGGTTCGCCCCAGGCCCGGCGGGGGCCACCGCGAGAGCGGGCCTCCTCCTACGGCGGCTGGCCCTTCACTGGTGGGGAAACTGAGGCAGGCGCAGCGACGCCCAGGAGCAGCCCTCGCTGCGCGGTGCACGGTCCGCGCACCCCCTGCCCCCGCCCAGAGCAAGCTCCCGGAGCCCGGCCGCGCCGCCAGCTGGAGCGCGCGCGGCCGCCGGGGCAGCAAACAGGCGGACGGCCCCGCGGGGACACTTAGCACTTTATTAACCTGTCAACGCCTAAAAGGTCCCGGGTGGCCGGGGGAGGGGCTGCAGGCCGAGGGCGTGGGGCGGCGTGGGGGCGTGGTCTGAGGATTGAT